TACACACACATTCTGTTTCTCATATAATTCATATTTTGTCATTTTGATATTGGCACCAAAATTCAAAGTTGGTTTAGTTTTGTATCAGTGTTAGTTTCAGAATAATTATTTTCAAATAATACCCAGCCCCACTGATTTTTCATTTAAAATACCTTATTTTTATAAAAAACCTTTTGCTTTTAATTCTGAATTTACATTACAAAACCTATGTTAGATTTAGGGCTAATTATCAGTTAATTATCTCCTAATTATTTTTCAATTATTTTAATTGTTGTATGATTTGGCTATAAAATGTAATCTAAGTGTTTCTTTTATTTGACCAGCAGTGCAAAATTCAAAGATATTCAATTTATAATGATAATTACAATAAAGCAGCATATGCTCATATTTGAGCAAATGAAACCATTGTTCAAATTGTTGCCGATTAATTTTATGTCGAACAACTAATCAGCTAATCCCTTCAGCACTGACTAGGAGAACGTCTGGAATAAAAACGTGTTTAAAAATGGTGTGGATGCTGAATTTCGGGGACTGCCGGCTCTATGCCTTCTAGTGGATTATTGTCAGTGTGTAGTGTTTTATACCACAAGCTTTTTGTATGTATGCCTGCTTCCTGTGTGTGAAAGCCATACACAGATGCACCTTTGACATACTTGTGAGTTCATGTGTGTGTGTGTGTGTGTGTGTGTGTGTGTGTGTGTGTGCACAGCTGTACTCAGGTGGAATGCCTGGGAATGTCCAGTGAACCCCTGCCTCTCTCGTCACTACCATGTGACATGTGATCTCCTGGAATCTCACACAGGCCCTACAATCACAAACACACCTCACCGCAGTGAGGAGAGCCCACGAGCAAGAACAAGTGTGTCAGAGAGGGAGTGAGAGAGGGGGTCAAGAAGAGAGAGGAGAACGGGGACAGAGGAGAGGGGCGCTGTCAATCACACCACACTGACAGCAGAACCACCCAGTTTTGTTTGTTTGTGTTTGTCTGTTTTTGCCTCCCTCAGCTTTTGACGGAAGTGGTGACAGCAACAACCTGCACGCTTTCAGATGATCCGGATCGTCCTCGGCCCTGCAGTCTTTTATATTTACGCCCAAGAAAAAGGACAAGCTTAGCCTATATATAGCACGTTCAACTCCTGGTATTGATCTTAAGTCAACAACTATAAAAATAAAACAGCAGAAATTGATCAATAAAGTGGCCGAGCCTCCCTAATATCACCAAGGTGAAGAATGGAGAGAGAACCACACTATGCCATGAGGATGCAATCATAGACAGGCTGTAAAACTGAAATTTGAGACCTCTATATTAGTCTATACTGGTCTAACAGAGCTAGAGAACAACTAGACTACTCCACACTGTACTGCTGTTACACTAACAGATGGTGAGACAGTACAGCGCTAGGATTAGTCCGTAACCATGAGAGGGTAGAGTTGAACTAGAGTAGAGAGCTAGAGCCTCTATGGCAAACCACATGCTTTTACCAGAGTAAGGCTAACAGTGTTGTTTCTAATAAAAGTCGATATCACCGCAAGTTGTTGTTCTTCTTTTTTCTTTTTGTACTAGAGAGCAGAATGAGAAGACTATAAGCTAAGACTGGAGGATCAGATACAGAGTCTACTGTTTAGTTTCTATGGTGGCTAAACTACTCTGATAGTCACCTCCGGTCACCAACCCTCCTGATGTCCAACATTCCTGTGCACATTCAAAAACAAACAGACACACACACACAAACAAACAAAATCAAACACATGGCAGCACACAGCACATCTGTGGGGAGGAGCTTGTGGACACTAAACATATAAAGTGGATCTGTTAAATGGGTTTTTTCATAGCAAATATGTATTGTAAGGATGCATTTAAAGTCCCCCTCCGCTCAAAGAAGTGTTTTGCTTATTGCTGTGCAGTGTGGTTGTCTTCACATTCATGTGTGTCATTGCACTTACCTAAAATCTCAATGCACATGAACAGTACACAAAAGGAGGATTTGTAACATTACAACATGTTTGGAGCCAGTCATGGTCTGATATGCAACTTACAGACACGGGACGTGGAAACATGAAGCCTTCAGTGCACACACACTGATTTTTTTTTTTTTTTTTTTGTGAAGTAGGAGACATCTCATGCCCAGCACTTTAACGTTTGAAACAAAAAATAAATGCATATTCACAGATTATGGATTTTTCTATGAGGAAGAAGTAGCTTTAATTTTAAGATTTATTGAAGTGGTAATGAATTTTTTGGTGAAAAAACATCACACACAAGTCATTTTTTATTATTATTCTATGTTTCTATGTGATTAAACATGTCTGGATGAGATCTTTCACTTAAAAACACTTTCTCCTACATAAGGACATGAAGCTGCTTTAATGTGTCAGTTGTGTTGTTTAAAGAGAGAGCTAACCTCTCCACACTCACAGCAAGGTAACAGGAAGACGCTGAACATAATTCCAAGAAAGGTTTATGAAATCAGGGCAATCCCCTTTGACCAGCTACATCCCAGCTATGCAACAGTTGGCCGAGCGCGCTGCCTGTCACAGCCTGAAGTGGGAACACACTTAACGCAACATGGCAATTGGGCAGCTACATCTCTGTGGAACTTGAGCTTGTTGACTCCAATCCTATTACTTATGAGAGCCATACTAATCACAGATGGGGTTATCCTGCCCCCCCCTCTCAGTCTTTCCACCTAGCTCAGCATGGAAATGGTTAATGGTGTCTTCGAATATGCCCGATGCAACTCTGCAAAGAGCTGTGTGACTTTGTTGTACAACTCTCTACTGTGCACCTTGGAGCTGCAGCTGAATGGAAACGTTGTCCCACAAGGGTGCAGTCACTAACTTCACAGATAGCAGGAAGCTGGGAGGGTACCCGGAGGGGCCACTAACAGAGCAGCAGTAGCATAAATCAGAGTACGACCTGCCTTCCTATACTGGTCAGAACCGGGCTCCATCTGTCCTTCAACACAATAAGTACCAATAAATTCCTCTACAGCACTGTATTTGCTCTTTAGCCTCTCGGCTGTGCAAAGCTCTTTTAATTCCAGTGCCGGAGTGGTTTAGTCAGTCACAGCATGGCACATTCTTTCTGTTGCCGCTGGAGACCTTCTCTCTGCCCTCTCTAACAGGATAACCTGCCTGCATGAGAGAAAGAAGGAGATGGGGGGCAGGGTGAGCAGTCTAAAAAGCCTATTCTACTCACCATCCTACTCCTGTGGCCGATCACCGAGCCCTCTAAACACCAAACGCACATGCTCTGCGGCCACAGCAGCCCCCACCGAACGCCACCATCCAACTCAGCTGCCAGCCACAAGGGGCCCTGCCACAGCCTACGTGGTTGAGCTAACACATGCACAACCTGAGAGGAAAACTCAAATTCAAAGGAGAGAATCATCATCTCTGGGATCTGCCATGAATGGGCTTGATAAGTTTATATCAGAGGAGGTGAAGAAATAAACAGTGACATTTAACTCTCATGGCCCCGGCTCTCTCCGGCTGGGACTGTTTATGCTGTCTGGATTTCTGGTATCCAGTAAGTGATTGTAAATGATGTGCATTGTTTTTTTCTTTTGTGACAGAGCCATTTTTCAACTGTGGACGGGGAAGGAGGGGAGGAGGTCACTATGGAAACAAACCCCACGGCAAGCGAGTGGCGTCCAACCATGATGGCACTACTTGTCATAGCTGTCGTGCCTGCAAGTGACACTATAACAGTAGAGCACAGGAGAAACCAAAAAAAAAAAAAAAAAAACAAAACTACACTTCACTTCTCTATCAAACAACTTGTACCTCTGCTAACCTTGGATTCAAAATAACAACGTCTTATTTCCTTGTAACTTTCTTCTCCATTTCCTCCTTCAGCACCTCTACTTATATTCCAAAGGCTCGACAAGGTGCATCGCTCAGAGCACAAAAGGGAGGAAAAAAGAAACAGCCTCCCCTCATTTCAATACAGTGACTAACCCGCAGCCATCACCACTCCCACTGAGGAGAGAGGCGGGGGCAGTGGTCCCTATGGCGACCAGCGGGCCACATTGTTCCCAGACCGGGCCTGCATTAATTACTGACAAAAAGACACACACACACACACACTGCAACACAGGAGATTAATATATTTTAAGTTACAATTCACACAGGTGAAAGGGGCCTGAATGTGTCACGCTGACACTATCATTGCAGTTTCCTTCTTTCAGAAATCATCAGGAAGCTGTGAGGAGTTAGTCAGTTGCTGCTTTCACACCTTGATGGTCTCAGGTTGCATTCACTCCTTCTACTGAGAAACTTTTTTTGGGAGGGGGGAGTCCATTTTTCACAGAAAAAAAGCTGAAAGAAAGTTCTGGTTCACTCTGTCTAGAGACTGAATCAGAGATTAGCAGTGAAAGCAAACCTGTCCGCTTCCCCTTGTTAATGTGGAAATTGACACTGGGTAACATTTTCTTGTCTGTCTGACTGAAGAGCGAAGAGAGAGCACAGCCTCCCATGTGTCTCCACTGACGGCTGCTGACTTTATCATGGAAAGCGCTCACGCCTGAGGCATGGCAGCGGGCAGACGTGGTCTGAGAAAACCACCCTAGTGAACATACTAAAATGTAGAAATGTCGCACCTCTCAGGAAGACTATTGGAAAATCCACCAATCAACCACCAAGCGATGGGATTAGCTGGTGTTGGGAAGTAAATACAGAGAACTCACTGTTTTGGAGTCCAACTCATGCCTAGTTTGGGCCAAAACTTTATCCACGCCAGCCTGGTCAACAAAGGTGACGAATCCAAAACCCCTGCATACATCAGGAGAGTTAGTTAATGACACAGAAAACTCTGTTAACATGTGATGATAGATTACGAGCAGCAAGGAATCACACAGGTTAGATAAACTTTCAGCCCCGGTTAAGAGGCCGGGTTCACAGCTCCCTCACCTCGAGCGCTTCGTAACCGGATCTCGCATCACCATACACTCCTTCACCTCACCATACTTGCAGAAGTACTCCTTCAGCCCCTCTGGGAAAACAAAACAGTGCGGAGAGAAGACACAGTGATTAATGAATCGAGAGGTGAACAAGTTAGCAAGGAGAGTGGCTACAGAGCCGCCTCACTCTGCTGAGATTTCCTTTGACAACAGTTATTTAATTCATGTGGCACAACACAAAATGATCAGAACACACGCACAAAGAAAATATGAATATCCCAACTAAAATGTATTTAACCATACATAATCTAATTTCACCCTTTTCAGTGAGCTTTCAAGAATCATTCATTTATTCTGTGGTCATTCTGAATGGGGGCATTCATTGTGGAGCAGTTTTCATATGTAAAACAAAAAAAAGGAGGGGGGGGGCAGGTTCTACATAAGCAAAAAGAAATAAAGCTTTTTAAATAAGTTCTTACTGGTTCCATCTAATCCATGACAGGTTTTTTAAAGACACTGTGGCATTTTAAGGAGCGGGAAAAGGTTTACCTTGTGTTGTTTGCCAGCTGAGTCCACCTATGAACATTTTGCTGTGGGGGAAAAAGAGAAAACTTTTATTATTTACACATTCATACATTCATTTAAGGTGTATTTAGTGAGTCTGATGTATCAGAGGCCAAAACTAAGTTGTTACTGAGGGTCTGAAATCATGGAGGTTCAGACAGAATTTCTGAGTGTGTCATCTCTGAGTTTACATGAAGGCTCCCTGTGTGGAGGTGTGAGTCTGGCCGCGCACCACAGTCCTGCCGCAGAATGCCAGGCTTGTTTCGGAGGTGTGCGGGACAAGGTACGACTATGGAAAAAAAGTTTTTTTCGTTACCATGGGTCGTGAGGGGAGTCCGTGGTGGACAGGCTGCTCTGGCTCCCTTCCGTCTCCATTCCGTGTCCTCGCTGTGTGTGAGAGAGTGCCGTGAGAGTCCGGGCCGAGCCGTGCGGGAAAACAGACAGAGAGTGAGTGAGAGGAGCTGGGCGGGTTTGGCCCGGGGTGACAGAGAGGGGAGCGGGCCAGATGCAGTGTGGGACAGACTCCACCTCCTCCTCAAGTCTCCGCTACTGTCCCTCTCTCTCTCCACCGAGCCACGAGGCTCGGTCGCCAAAACCGATGGGATCAACAGCACTGCTTCCGCTTCAGCCTTTCAAAATAAAGCCCCGGCGGTGTTCAGAGGTTCAGAGAGGCAACAGTGACCATATGGGGTTTTTTGGTCAGGGTTGGATAGTAGGCTACTTGGAAAGTCTTTATATGTCTAGAAATGTCAATCTAATTAATTATTGATCTTTATAGCTTGTCATTATTTTTATTGATTGTATTGTTTTTGCTTTGTTTATTGTTGTACAGTACTTTGAGTAGCACTTAATGTACTGTGCTATATAAATAAAGTTATTATTATTATTGTTGTTGTTGTTGTTACAAAAAAACAGTATTGCAATACTGGAGCAATCAAATTGCAAATAAAAGAATGTCCAAAGTGTAAAAAAAAAATCACTAATAATTTAAGTCCCCCTGTTTAGAAGTATATAAACTTGTAATAAATTAGTTGTAACACATAATAATGTAGTTGTAAGCGCATATAGTGATATTTCTAAGGATGCCTTCTCCTATAAAGAAGGTTTATAGAATTACAACTGTATTTTACTTCATTATCTGCTTAAACCTCAGCTTCCACATGGACGTCCAGGAGGTATAGTCTAGTCTAGGACATGCACAAACACATTGAGAGCCGCTGTACCAGAGTCAAATTCCTCATGTGTCCAACACACCTGGCCGATAAAGTTGATTCTAATTCTAGTTGTATATTTACTCTTTTTACTACTTTTTGCCATAGGCTATAGCCAAGACATTGCCATTTACCTGCTCTGCACTGCTGATTAATAGACCTATAACTATTTGCTTGTTTTATATTTTCTGTTCCAAGTGGTCTTTCTTGGTATAAACATCTAGTCTTTTACACTCACTGCAAGGCTTATAATATAACAACAACAACAACACTAATAATAATAGATATCAATGAGTATCACTCATGATTAATTAATCGAGTTTCATCAAAAGCAGAAGACATTTAAACAGATTCTCAAGCCTCAGGTTTTCAGCACCCATGCGCTTGTCTGACAAACTTTAAACCTTTGTTATGAAGGCAGGATCTCCTAATTTCCTGTCACATTTTGGCACATTTACTCTAACTTGATGCAATTGCCATTCTAGGTTAGCTAAAACCTCAAGTCACTGTGACAGTACCTGATCTATAATGATAGCTTAACTGGTCTTTAAAATGTTTCCAATATCAGTTATGAATAATATGGTGAAAGTCAATGAATGGAAAAAGTCTGACTAGAAACATGTAAATGCAATGTATTAGTAGTAGTAGTAGTAGTAGTCAGGAAGTGAATATTGTGTGCCAGTAATCTGATCTGATAAAAAAGTTTTTTTGTTTGTTTTTTTACTCAAAACTTACTCATGTTGAAGGTTACTGTGCAAATGTTGTGTTGTTCTTAAAGTCAAGTAACAAGTGAATCAGTTGCACAGCTACTGGCCAATAGTCAGAGTTAGGAAATTAGTTATCATCCCTCACTTCCAGTACTGTGTGTAAATGATATTAAGTCAAACTGAAGTCCATGTTTCTTTCATATAAAGTCCCACTTCTTGAATCTTATACCAAATAGTGTGGCTTTGCTTGAATAATAACTTGGTTTGTTACATTTGCCATCTTCTGTTGGTGATATTACATAATCTATAATTTCACTAGTCTTTCTAATTCATCAGCTGGCTTCTTATTAATTCATTTTTGAGTAAATGTCTATGTAGAGTTGATCTGTATCTGTGTTTGCTTGTTTAATGCACCTTTCATACTACAAATAGGGTTATGCAATGTAGTACAACAGGACATTTGTGTGCTATGTGGTCATTCATTGCTGGGGTTTAAGTATTTAATTAGTATCAAAGCCAGCTCTGGTTAATCTTCTCAACACTGACTCAGCATGTGACCTGGTAACAAATGTTATGGCCAATCAATAGCCTGAGCAATTCATACAAAAACAATGTTAGCTTTAACTCATGGTGGGTATCAAATGGATGCTGTCTTACTCAAGGCGCAGAGTTAGTTCTAAAGTTTGTTCCATAAAGTCTGCAGATTAGGAGTTGTTTGTTTGTGCAAGGAAGCTGATGGTGTTGGTTATGTCTCTACAATGCATCTCTAATTCAGAGCAACGCTACAAGTTCAGAGTGTGTAGTTTATGATATTTGGGCACAGGTTTAGATTTGTGATCATTCTCTCTAGCATGGTTTATCCTCATTGAGTGCTGCAGCCAGTGTACTGCCTGTACACAGGCCTAGTCCGTCCTCTGCAGATGAACAGATGAAAGTCTGGAAGTGGGACAGGGCCTATTTGGACAGGAATTAAGGGGTGTGTTAAATTTCTGCATGCATGATCAATGGGGTAGCTAGTGGTGAGAATACAAACAGAGGCAGCCAGCAATGGCTCACTAATGAGAGATGGACAGTATGGATTGTATCTCATTACCAATCAACATAGCTTTGAGTTTTCTGGAGAGGGAAAATGCAAGTTCTAATGTGTACTGCATGTGGTCCTTTTTGATAAACCCGGCTTGTGTGGTGGAGCATTAGTCACAGCAGTATCTGAGCTGTTGGAAATCCACACACACTGCCCTCTGTCCGTTTTGGTAAGGAGTTTTCTCTGAATAGTACAATGGGACTTAATTACAGGTCAGTGGCATGTCTCAGGGAGATAGAGGGAGCTCTGTTACCCTTCCAAATACAGTATAATGCCATCTTCCCAAGGGTGGGGTGGAGTAACACGAGCTCCATACAAAAAGCTGCTGATAGGCTGAACCTGAGAATGGTATAAGGTGATCCAGGCAGAGAAAGTGAGCATTTTACACTGAGAGAGAGAGAAAAGATAAAGGGCTACATTAACTCTCAAAGGGTTTCTTCCATTCAGTTTGCCCTCTTTCCTTTCCAGTCCACTTCCAACTTATCATTCCTGCCAGTGTTCTCTGACAAGAAACAGGAGGGTAGATCAAAGACAGAGAAGTTTTTTTTTGGAAAGAGAAGCCTAAGAGTTAAAGTAGAAAATGTTCAGTTCAAAACCACCTGTGGGCACTTGTTAAAAGTTCAGACATGCTTCATGTACCGTATATACATTTTACTAAAAAAACTAAAGTCGGCAACTCTTTAAAAATAACAACCAACGTCAACTGCATTCAAGATGTATGTTATATTTGCATTTCATGACAGACTGCCTGATCCTTAATACAAACTATGTAATGGAAAGACACATTGTTGTGGAGATGGTAACAAGGCTGAGAGAGGGAGGTAAACATATACTGCAGTTATGATATTAACACGTAACCAAATGGAGCCTAATATAATAAAATAATAGTCCTAAGAGTAGTTTTTTAATAGCACTTATCAAAACCAGAAATCACAAAGTGCTCTCACATACCCATAAAAACTGAGGATAGTAAAAATATAAACATACATGTTACCAATGGTGGAAAGTAAATAGGTAAGTATTGTACAATTTTAAGGCATTTGCACTTATAGAAACTTGAGTACATCTAACTTTATGCTACTTCATACATCTGACAAAAAAGTTACTAATTATGTTCACTTAAAAACATATCACAAATTATTGTTATCCATATTAATGTATCATTAGGTATGAAACCAGAGGTTTACAACCTTTTATGACATGTAGGCTCTGATAAAAAAAAAAAGAAGTGTCTGTCCTTTGTCATATTTCAGATATGTTGTTCCACTAAGCATTCCCTCTTTACATTTTTCAGATAGTTTAATTTCATTTTAATAATTATTACAGGCCCAAAGAAGTAACACTTTCCAATATTTGATCAAAAAACAAAAGCACTTTAAAGTGGCTTACAGTCATGGCCAAAAATATTGGATAACACACCACTTCTCCCAGCAAATTGTTGCAATCACAATTTCTTTGGTATTGTCATGTTTATATCTTTTGTTTGCATTGGAACAAAACAAAAAAGCAGGAAAAGAGCCAAATCTGATCTGTTCCACATAGAACTCCTAAAATGGACTGGACAGAATTATTGAGAACCTCAACTTAATATTTGGTAGCACACCCTCTGGACAAAATAACTGAAATCAATCACTTCCTGTAACCATCAGTGAGTTTCTTCCACCTCTCTACTGGAATCTTGGACCACTCTTCTTTTGTCAACTGCTCCAGGTCTCTAACATTTGAAGGGTTTCTTGAGACTATCCATACTTTTCCATTGTTGTGGTTCTCATATCCTTGGGAAATTCTTTGCTCTTCTTTCTTTTCTCCATGCGCAGTGTGGTCCACATGACACAAAGGCTAGGTTAAAGTTTCTCCATTTTAACTGGTTGCAAGTGTGATTTCTATATTGTCAGCACCTGTTGATTGCTACAGGTGAGTTTCATTACAAATTAAAGGAGCATCACATGCTTGAAATACAACTATTTTTGATGGTTTTGAAAAGGTGTCAATAATTCTCTTCAGTCCATTTATAGAGTTCTGTGTGGAATGGATCAGATTTGGCTTTCTCCCTCTGCTTTTTTGTGTTATTCCAAGCAAACTAACTAACTAATTACATACATAAACAAACATGATAATACCAAAGAATTTATGATTGCAACAATTTTCTGAGAGAAGTGGTGCATTATCTGACAGAAATGCAAGGTTGCCAATACTTTTGGTCATAAATTTAGGTATCAACATATATATAAACCTGTCACATCCAAGCGACCACAGTGCTGATCTCTAACTCCTTTCTTATTCTCAAACTAAGTGCTGAAACTAATGCTCAACATAGAAAACACTGTGTGTACACAATAACCCAACATTACTTAACTTTGGTGTAAGAATACATCCTGGAACGGGGGCGTGCTCATGTATAGACGATACAGCAGCTCCCTCTAGTGGCAGGTGTTAAGCCATGTCTGCTCGGTTAATTTAATGTTGGTCTGTGTCGTTACCATGTTAAACCTTGACCTAAAATAAACAATGTTAACTACTGGCCTTAACATCAAAGTTTAGAATATCCCAAACAAAAGGGTAAGAAGAGCTTTCCAGAAAAGTCTGTTAAATTGTGAAATCAGAAATATCTATGCATGTAAATGCACTTCAACCCTTGTCTCTTTTCTTTATTTGTCTTCTCTGTCTGCTTTGAGAGGTGAGCTGTTACTACTGCAACTTACCCTCACATTTATTTATTGTTTTTAAATTGCACTTTGGTCACTGTGGGGACTGAGGAAGTGGGGACAAAGTTCACAGGGCGCATGTAAGGAGGAGGGGGCGAAGAGAAGGAAGGTTACAAAAAGAAAATTGACCTTTGAAAGCAAAACAGCAGGTGGAGAGCTAAAACCAGGCAGCTCAGGACACATCAGGAAGAAATTCAACACAGAGGAAAATTAAAGTATACGTTCACTTAGGCTGAAGAGGGACCACAGGTGTAATGAGGCCCAATGCTGGCTGGCTGGCTGCTGTTTGAGTGTGGTAGTGCACACAATAGCAGTGTTTGTTTGTGAGGCAGTAGCGAGCTAAGGCACCAGACTAATGGAGGGAGAGGAGAAGGCCGGGGCAGTCAAACCGATGTCGAGCCGTCTGACCGCCCTTCAAGAGCAGCTGATCTGGGCCCTGCTGGAATCTGGCCTGTCCCGGGACATCCTGGTCCAAGCCATGGGGGAGCTGGAGCAGGACAGACTGAGTGCTGGCACAGAGAGGGGAGAGAGGGCGGATGGAGAGAGCTCCGAGGAGGGAGAAATCGATTTCCCACCACCCATCTTCCGAGAGCTGGAGAAATTTTCCCCAGAGGAGGCGGCCAAACTGAGGGCCGAAGTTGAGAGGCTACTGCAGTAAGTAGATCCTCAATCCACAACAGCATAATCACCTTAATCTGTCACTGACTGCTAAATAGGACCTGGCTGGGCAAAATCTGAAAATGCGTCAATGACATCCTCAATGCTACACAGTCAAAACTAAGCAGCTGAGAGCTGAAGCAACAGTTTACCTGGGAATTCCTCTATTCCTTTTGTTCTTCTTAAGCTTGGGTCCCCTCTCTTTACCACTGCCTCCCTCCTACTGCTACGTCTCTGTCTGACTTTCTCTCTGCAGTCTGGCTTCTGAGGGGAATTTAAAGAGGGTTCCTCCTTTGCTAGTTACTAATTACCCACCCCATCATTATTCTCTGGCCATTTCTTAATAAATAAGCTACATGCAGAGGTGAAGATTAATGGAGTAGGGCTGGTCATGTGAGGCTATGTTTACACAAGGCATGAGTGATATTTCTATATTCAGTTTTAAGACCCGATTTTGGATATTTGGAAAGCACACTGCACTCATCAGACAACTTAATGAGAGATTTTAGAAAGTAATAAAATGTTCTTTGAGAGGCTGTTCAAATCCAGTTTTCTTTTTTTTTTTTACATTTCTATCTAACACAGTATCTAAAATATTTGTGAGGAGAATTTGAACCTATTAAAGGTTTTTTATTTGTATTTACTTTTTGCAGTTTTTTGTATTTTTAATGCTGCTGACTTGACAGTTAGGGAGTGTTAATTTAGGCTTCATAAACCTTTTACACATTTTCCACTCCAGTGATCTCACAGAGCTGGACTTTGCCCCATGTCCTTTCCCTTATCTCTCTCTGTCAATAAGTTTCTCTCTACTTCCCTCTCTGTGCTTTATGGGTAATGTTGTGACAAACTGTGCCTGTTAAGTACTTTTATAGAAGAGGTTTACTTGTAAGAAATACAAATAAATAAATACTGGGAAGAAGAAAAAAGGATGTGCTTCTGTCAAACATATGAAAACATGCAGAAGACATATATATATATACAAAATGATGTCTTTCTCTAACAGGGAAGACCCTTGGCATGTTGCAAAAATGGTGAAAAGCTACATGCAGCAGCATAACCTCCCTCAGCGAGAGGTGGTGGAGTCCACGGGGCTCAACCAGTCACACCTCTCTCAGCACCTCAACAAAGGTACACCCATGAAGAACCAGAAAAGAGCTGCTCTGTACAGCTGGTATGTCAAGAAGCAGTGCGAGATCAATCATCGTGAGTACACAAGCAGCTGGGGAGCTACAAACACACTACTGTCTGATTTCAAACACTCATCAAATATCAGATCTCTAAAAGAATGAGACAAAATGTTCATATAGAAGAATAATTAAAGAAATAAAAACACTGTTCCATTTCCTTCCAGAATTTAACAATGCCAAACACGGCCTTGCATCTGTGGAGGAGCAAGGGGAGGACATCAAGAAAGGACGGAGGAACAGGTTCAAGTGGGGTCCGGCATCCCTGCAAATCCTCTTCCATGCCTACGAACGACAGAAGAACCCCAGTAAGGAGGAGAGAGAGGGGTTGGTGGAGGAGTGTAACAGGTGAGACGTGAGAGTACAAAGGCACAACAGGATTTTTTTTTCCCCAATGATCTGCTTTTAGAGCTTTTCTGTGTCAATTTGGCCAAACCAAACCCAAGTCACATGCTGGATTAGCGAGGTCAGCCCCATCCTGCTGTCTGGTCTTACTCATTTCTCTAGAACAATAAATATTCATAACTAAATCAGCAAGAATCAAAGTTTAAGTTAGGGTGAAAAGGACTATACAGTCACAAACTCATCAGGACAGTGCAGGTGTGATTTGATCACAGTACTAGTTTATTATCACATAATGATTACAACATTGACTCTGACTGCTGCACAGAAATATCAACATTTTCCTTCAAACAAGTGAACAGACCTCAGGCAAAAACAGAAATACAGAAATCTAATTGTAAAAAATGTTCATGTACCACATGTACCTTTATAGTGAAACAGTGATTAAGAAAATAGGTTAGCATATTTTTAACAAGCTAGCATACTGCTGTTTAGCTCAAAGCACTGCTGTGTCAAGAGTTCTGTTATCAGATCATTATTTAGCCCAAGACTGTTGAGCTGAGTCTATCTAGAGACTGCTAGCATTCCTATAGTGTTTTTAAAGAAATTCCCTAACTTGTTCAGTTTATACTATTACTCATGTTACCAAATATGCGATAACATGACCTTGTGAGTCCCTGGTGGATGTGTCTAGTGCATGTGCTGACATCAGCATCAAACTCACAGAGGTTTGGATAAAATCTCCTCTCAAATAAGGACAAGCCGAAGTCTCAAGGAGACAGTGTAGATCTTTAAAATCTTAAGCCATGGGTTCATATGCTATTCCTCTCTCAGAGCGGAGTGTCTCCAGAGGGGAGTGTCCCCTTCCCAGCTTGCTGGACTGGGCTCCAACCAGGTTACTGAAGTTCGGGTGTACAACTGGTTTGCCAACCGCCGCAAAGAGGAAGCCTTCCGTCACAAACTTGCCCTTGACACGCCTTTCACCAACCAATCTGCCTCATCCTCTAACCCCAACCTTCCACCAAGTCCCGAGCATGGTAATATCCTAACAACCTTCTGGCAAGCATGAGAAGGTTAAAAGGACAAAGTAAAATGTAAGAGTGTAATCAAATTTCCTAAAAGAGGGAGTGAATGCTCTCTCAGGACGAAGTTGGACTCGCGTACACTGCATCATTAGATTTGATCTTTTTCAGTATAAAACAACAACCAGCACACTCTTGTACACAGGACTGCACTGGTTCTGGTCCTGATGCTCATATTATACTTCTCTACATCATGGTGCCATTTGAACTAAAGTTTTCTGTTTGTGTAAAATTTGAACCCTGTCAGTGTTGTGGGACTTGATTTGTGTTGTTTCCCAGGTGTGAAATACAGCCAGCAAATCCTATGTGACGCCATGAGCTCAGCCAGAGGTAGCGGAGGTGAGAGACTGGGACGTCTTGTGGTCAGCCCAGTCCAACTGGAGCCCAGTCACACACTCCTTGAGTCCCATAACCCCAAGCCGGTGAGAGCATGTGTCACTATTTCATACTGCAGACTACCTGCATGCACTGCTATCACCATGACCATGTTGCCCTCTGGTCCCAGGTGTCCAGTGGTGGCCCGCTGCCCCCAGTAAGCACTCTGACTTCCCTGCACAGTCTGTCTGCCTCCCCTGCATCTTCTCAGGGCCTCATCATGGCGTCACTACCCAGTGTCATGAGCCTGGGGGAGTCCTCACTTTTCATTGGTAACAATGGATCTTTAGTTTTCTTTCTGTCTATGAGAGAATAAAAGAAAAGTTCAGGGAACAATTTCTTTGCCTGTGGATTCACAGGTTTAGCCTCCACACAGCCTCAGACTGTACCTGTCATAAACAACATGGGGAGTGGTTTCACCACTCTCCAGCCAATCTCCTTCCAGCAGCAGCTTCACGGCGCTCCCCAGCAGCCAATATCACAGCAGCTACAGAGCCACATGAGTGCCAGTCCTTTTATGGCAACCATGGCACAGCTACCATGTCACAGTAAGGCTGCAGCAATAAAATGACACGAGTTTAGTCATATATACTAAGAACTCATTCACGTTCCCTAATTTCAGTGTACAACAAGTCAGATTCGCCACAGTACCATTCATCCAGTTTGCTGTCTCAAGCCATGGTCATCACAGATAGCAGCAGCCTGGGGACTCTGACTAGCCTCTCTGCTGTCAGACAGGTAACTGGGTCTGATGGGCTGGTATGTCTGTTAGCGCAGGAACGATTCCAGTTTAGTAAAAACTGTTCTTGATTTTTGTGTTGTTTAGATTCTTGCAGCAGATACTGAAGAGCAGGAAGATGGACCTTTACAGGAAGATTCACTACACCTGCAGCCTCACACACCGGTGCCAGGTACACAACTGTAGCTACAGGTTTATTCAATGACATCTATATTCTATGATATTTTTGGGTTTATGTCATGTGTAATTATGCCTATTTCAAAGGACCATTCTAAATATAAGTGATATTTGACTATCACTGACAGTTGTTGACAAAATCCAGCTAGAATGCATTTGTTTCTTTGAAATGTGTGAGCCGCTTCTAAACAGTGGTGTCTGAAATGATCTGGGATTAATCTGATTGGATTAATTTAAGAAGGGAAGTGACGGTCAAGCAGTTAATCTTACCTCATAAACACCACCATGTCACAGGACTATTTCAACATGTTGAGAAAAAAAAGTGTTTGTTTTCAAAACTGATACCACTCTCATGTGAGTTTAATCAGTGAGAAGCAGGTGCCAGCAGCTGATAAATTTAGCCTAACTGGTTGCAACTTAAGTGCTGACAGAAAGTCACTGCTCCTGGCAAAGAAATAGTCCAGCACATAACAGTCTCTATTACTTGTTTGAGTGCAGATTAAACACACAAAATACAACATGTTAATAATTTGCTTTAGAGGTGCTGGGAGGCAGATTTCATTATCTGTGAATGAAGCCAGGACAGCTGTTTCCCCATTTCCATTCTTTATGCTAAAATAAGCTAAGCTAAGTCGGTGCTGGCTCCAACTTTATGACCAGACATAAAAAAAAGAAAAAAAAAGTGGCATACACCCTCTTTTATCAGTTTCAGCAAGAAAGCATATGTTTTTACCCAAAACGTTCTACTACACTTTTAATAAAGTAATTATCAAATTTTGGGTAAAATATCTGCACAAAACATCTTTTGTACAAATAGGCCAGTGCACCTATTGATTGCTACAGGTGCATTACCGCCACCTACTGGACAAGAGTAGGAAGTGATGACTAGATCATAATAAGAATTTAATTAAAATTATATATACCGTATTTTCCAAATTGCCTGCTCAACCAAATGCTCTAATGTGATATTGTTTGCTTTACTGGTGATACAAGTTGCCTTGTTCCACATCATAGTATTACATTTCTGTAGTACATGTTAACCAGATTGTCACCGATCAGTGCGTGTAATCCAGGTGAATGTTTGCCTGTTTTATGAAATGTTTGACCAAGCCTTTATATAATGAACAGATGACTTCCGGTGTCATCAGTGTCCTGCCACTCTCTGCCACGATTCTTAAGAGTCGTTTTGACCTCAACTTTACTAAACAGAATCTGTATGTTGACCATCTTAAATTTTAGGGATTTTTAGTCCGGATAAACCACTGATCTAGTTTTTCCCACCCCTCAACAGCTTCTTCCGAAAGCCTGGAGCTGTATCCCGCCTCTCAGACAACAGAAAGTCATCAGCCTCACCTCCTCTCACCTTCACCAACAGACATCAGTTCTTACATGCCTACACAAATGGTCTCTACTGCGCAATAGAAGTGCTCTGGCTGTTTAGTCTCTCCTCACTATCAGCAGGACTCAGGAGCGGGGGTGGGGTGTTTGAGATGGAGAGCCTACCTCTGGTGTAAATTACAAGAGAAACCTGGAGTCAGGGGCCACAGAGACAGATCATCGGTGTCAAAGACTCTGACCCAAAACACCATATCACTGTAATATGAACAAGGATCAACATTGGAGAAGATCTGCTCTCGATACGACACAGAATCAACAAAAAAATCAGCGCCCATGTGTTCTTGTTTTTTTTATTAAAATAATGTTTTGTAATATTCAGAAAGTAAATTCAATTGAACTTGTGATACTGCATGTTACCTGCATTCTTTAACTCACTGCCTTGAAGCTTTTTCACACTTTAATGAACATCATGCATGAGAAAGTAAAAACAGCTTCAGGAATAACCATGACAAATGGTATTAAAAGAATTTTAACGTAACCCTGGCTTCGTAAAATATTTTGTAAACAATTTGGAAAATATTTCACCACCCAGTCATTTCAAGCTTGTGGCAGAATGGAACACATACAGACATCCCCAACAGTGAACAGTTAGTCATAAAAAATTCAGTTCAAAGCTTTTTCCTCTCTGTTTCTTTTTTGTTTCTTTTCCTTCTTCCGTTTTACTTTGACTTGAGTGTGTTCGTGCTCTGAGTCTCTGTGCTCACCGTTTCTTTGAGCACGAAGAGGTGAACCTGCAGAGTCCACCTGCACACCCTCTTCTTGATTCTGTTTCGTCTTTTCCTTTTTCTTAACAACATTGCTCTCTTCTCCCTCTGACACTTTCTTCTTTTTCTTAATTATTTCCAAGCAGGGAGGTGAAAATGTAGAGGGCAGTGTTGATGAGGGGAAGAGATCTCTGACAGTCACCGCTGCCTCTCTCAACCTCGTTTCCATCTCACTGTCACTGTCACTATGAGGGACAATGAAATGCATAATGTTACTTTCAGGAGCATAAAAACTAATTAACATTTTCAAAAATTTAAACAGTAAGAACCTCGAGCTGGAAACAGGTCGACGCTTCACTGGAGCTCTGGGATCCTCAGCTGTCTGTCCTGGAACTGATGTAGAAAACAGACGAAATCCTAAAAGAAGAAAAGAATGTGGCCTTGCCTTTAAAGAGATGAAGCTAAATTCACATAGTAGTAATATCAATATTAAAGGAAAGAGGACCTTTACCATCATCATCATCATCATCATCACATTTAACTGATGCTGCACAGAATGATGTTTTGGTCTGCATCTCTGTAATGTAACTGAGTAACATATATAACATTAATTGAATGCACCTCAGAGAATAGTAAAATATCACTTCATTTGTTAACACGTCTAACCTAACATGTCTACTTTACCTGTCAAGAAGCTGTCCCAACTTTTTAGCGACATGTGTTCGAAACCCCTGGGTGACCTGGAGCTCATTGCCATCATGTTCGTGGTCAGCTACAACAACACTGTTGCACAGTAAGACAATATTTAACATACTCGTTTTCATAATCCTTTATGGTTGACCATTCACCAATAGATACATTTTGCCATAATGTACCTGTAGCTAAAAAAAACTAATTGTGAAGCCTACCAACACTGTGTGGGGATACAGAAACTATATCGCAATAGTCTATAGATCTCTGCATAATGTGGTTATTCTGACAAGAAGACGTACCGTTTTGACTGTTTCACACTTCTCTCTTCATCTAAAATAAACAAAGATGGCAGCAGTCAACAAATACAATGTCTGTGGTACTGTCGTTTAATGGACTAGAAGTTCAGAGGTTAAGCCAGGTTTAAGGTAAGTTACTTGAACTCCAATAAGTTAAATGGGCTCCAAGTCCAACAAAGTAAACACACCGATTAAATGTATACTCGTGTTATTATGCCGGTATTATTTCAGAAAGTAATGTAGTTACAACCAAGGTTTATTTATTAATATTAGTGGACTATTGGACAAGAGTGTCCCAGGCAAACGCGATGGGAGTTACATCGGAGTTTATATTTCTGTATAGTAATGTTGACTTTATTTCTTCCCGCAAACATAAAAAACGGTCACCTTTCTTCTTGTCAGTTCGTGCCTCCCAGACTGCCTCCTGACATCTTTTCAGCTCTTCGTCGTCGCTGCTACTAGAATCATGAGAAACACCAACCATCTCTATAGAGGGGGCCGCCATGATGCCTCTAGTGTTGTCTGTTTTGAGCTGAGGATTCTGGGTAACGTAGTCTCGTAAAGGGAGCAGCGTGAACAAATAATAGGCTCATTCGAGATGAACTGCGACTCGCCTGGTAAACGGACGAGAGCTGGCAGCGGCAGCAGGGGGCAGTGACAAAAATCTGCAGTCAAGACGAACAGTGTACAATGAAATCTTCTTCTTCTTCAGCTGTTTTTAATGGCGCTTGGCAACCAGCTTTAGGTGCATTACTGCCACCTTCCAGACTGGAGTGTGGATCAGAACGGCCTCTACCTACTACCACACCAAAACAACCCCACTCAGGTCACCTTATATTATCTTGTGTAACCCTGTGCTCTCTAAAAACCCAATAAGTGCTCTGTATCCTATATCCACTGCCAAGATGAAATCAACACATGTGTGATAATCTCTCAATATACACAGGAGAATTAATAGCTATTGTAACAGCATTAGAATGAGTAGAAGAACATAAACCACTGAAAGTCCTAATTGGATCAGATTCCATCAGTTCTTTACTGAAGTATTCGAAACATCCAGTCAAACTCGAGGCAGGACATAATACTTGAAATAGCTTGTGTGCTATTCAGATGTCAGAGGGCTGGAATAGATATTAGGCTAGTTTGGATACCAGCACATATTGGGGTGGAGGGAAATGAACTATCTGATCAATTTGCAAAAGCTGCGCTTAAAAAGAGATGTATGTGTGGAAGTAAGTTATAGTAAGGCTGAGGTTAATAGTTTAATTAAAAGGAAAATGAAAGAAATGGCAAGAACTGTGGGGTGGGATAAAGATGGCAAGGGTTGGTTCTACTTTATTATAATATTCAAAGGAAAGGAAAAACAAGAGGAACTACTGGAAATAGAAAAGAAGAAGATATGTTATCAAGACTGAGATTTGGGCAGACTGGTTTAAAAAGTACATTGAAGATAATAAAGAAGCATACTACAGGGGAATTTGAGATGCGTAGGGTACAAGAAACTGTGGAACATGTTCTAATGAGGTGTAATGTTAATTTTACCTGTGATTCTTTGAATAAACCAGCACGTTTTTTTTATATATCCAAGTGGTCCGCTTCGTCTCTGTGAGTTCCTGGTTAAAAGAACCGATAATTACCCTTCACAGAGCTCCTGCAGGAAATCCGTTCTCTGAACGAATTACGTTTTCTCATTACATTTATCTTCTTGGGCTAGGCCTGCCCTGGACAGAGGTACAACATTTCACACTTCATAATCCTATTGGCCATTTGGCGTGAGCAGGTCAACCCGTGCCTGCGTCTGCTTGCTGAAATGTGATCTAAACCAGGTGTGTGTGTGTGTGTGTGTGTGTGCTTCTCAGGTCGCAGCTTGATCAATCGAACACTGAACAATGGGGGGTCTGGGCTGCAGGCCCCCCTGTGTGTGATGCTATTGTAGGACCTAGTGAGTATACTAAACAGGCCAGGTGGTCATCTCAGGTTGTAGGCCCCATGTCTCTGCAAGATACCCCATGACAAAGAAGAATTTGGAATATGCTAAGCGGGTCTAGGTGAAGGTGCAAAACAGGCCAACAGGTCTTTGTTAAAATGTAAAATAGGCCGTCTGGTTACTTGAAGATACAGACATCCTGTCTCTACAGAATTTGTAGTATACAGTTCTAAAACTTCACTAAAATACAGCAGCCAGCTATCAATGCAGTTTTAATATGTATAAGCAAAGAAAATAAAGGTATGAAAAGAAACTAAAGGAAACTAAAATTATAAAAAGTAACTAAAGCTTCTAAATGGGCACGCCTCACAGCCTCTCCTCAGCTGGCCCTGACCGGACCAGGGCCACACGCTGGGGGACCATGAGGTGTGCCTCACAGTCTCTCCGCAGCTGAGCCCTAGGTTCCCGAACATGCCAGCGGGGGGCCTGTACCAGACCGGGGCACCCCCGCCAGCAGGGGCCTGTACTGGACCGGACCGGGGCCACACGCACACCAGAGGGCGGTAACCCAGGGGGGTTGCCCCTCACAAAGGTTCCTGAACCCGCCTGTAAATATACATTGTACAGATTATACAGATCCATACAGGTCTCTATTTTTAAGTACTCTATTTTTATTCTTATTTATCTCATCTCACAATGAGCATTCCTTTGTCTGCATGCATTGTTTACTGCCTGTTTATACTGCCTATTTTGCATTGTATGCACTGTTTGTTGCTTATTCATACTGCTTATTTTTTTAATATTACACAGCCTTATGCTGGTTTACTGTTTACTTGCCCCTTGCATGGGGACATGTACATACACATAAGAGCCGATGTACCAGAGTCAAATTGCTGGTGTGTCTGACACACCTAGCCAATAAAGCAGATTCAGAGATTCTGAAGATGATTTGGGCCACATTTCTCAAAAAGCAGGCATCATATTAGTGCTGTGCTGTATTTCAGATGACCAGGCTATGATATGAAACTGCAAAAAATAAATCCATAGCAACTGTTGATCTGTCAGATATTTAGTTTGCCACTGCTTCATCTCTGTATAGATGTCACTGAAAGAATTTTCACATCCCCCTTATCCTTGTGTTAATTAATATTCTCCATCACGAATTAAATCAATCAGAACTATGGCAGATTGCCTGCTGTTAATGTACTGTACCGTGACTGTATTCAGTTTCTCTGACTAATAAGTCACCATCATAGATGTCACTGAAAGAATTACATAATATATATATTCAGTTAACATAATCTTGAAAGCACCTGTTGACTTGTTTTTCAGACACAGTATGTGCTTCATTTATCACAGTTTGAACAGGAGCAAATGTGAGTACAAATCAAATAAGTCTAGCTCTATTAAAATCTATTGTACTCACAGAGCAAGTGAAAATGAAAAATATTTGCTTCCCCCCAATTTATATTTACAACACAGAACAGTGGAGTTCAGGATTAAACTGAAATTGATTGATGCCAGATCAATGTCATATGTAAAAGAAATATAATTATAATGGGATAATATTCATTTTTTTGAAACAATGTCCAGGATAGGCCAAATTATCAGATTACCTGTTATGCTACCAATCAGTTCATACACTTGGTGAAGCTCAAGGAGTCCCATATTATGTAAAGGTTTTCATTGTGAGTGTGTTTTGCAGTCAGCCATATTTATTTACAATATGATATGACATGAATTTATCATTGGCAACATCAGCCTATATAAAAAAGTCCATGCAGCAGGTTACAAACTGAATCCATAACATTGGGTTAGTCATGTCATCTTATTGTGCAGATATAACAAAGTGTATCAACTTCTCAAGGCATTTAGATCATCATATTTTAAGATAAAATACCACTGACTGATACTGTATGGCAAAAAAGTTAGTCCTCCCAGCTAGTATAACACCAGCGTTGCTAACCAGCAGTCCAACTGAGCTGCATCCACTTCGTCCAACAGAAAAGGTTAGGTTAAGTTAGGTAGGACTTTATTGAAAATAAACAACTGAGGCTGTATGGGGTCATGTGAGCAGAGGCTACAGCTGTCTAAGTGTGTCTGATATCACACTTGTTGAGGTATTAATGGGCTACACAATGTGTTATCGCTGATCATTCAAACTGTAAAATGTACTTCTTTTTTTTTTTTTTTTTTAGAAGAGTAAACATGACTATAGGAGCAAATGGTTTTAGGACACCATGTTTTGTACACCGCAGTACTCAGAGACTCTGCAAGATGTATTTATCATACGCCTTCCCTTCAGCTCACAGGTTTGGAGAAACCTCAGACCACAGTGTTTGCCTTGTAGGTGGATATAGCACAAGGTTCTCGTACATAAATCCCCTACAATGACCACCTGCATCAAGGTACATTTGAGTATCAAAAACAGATTTTTTGAGACTGTTCAAGTGGTTTTGCATAGTTTAGCTGATGAACTCCAATTTACAAGCTACTGTTAAAGCAGAGAATTATTTCCTTCCTTGCAACTGATTTCCATTTATTTTTGTACAATATGAAAATCAAGTAAACTGAACTGGCTAATCACAGGGGGTCTTTATACTGGAAATGACAATGCAAGTGGAGACATCAGAGTCACCGACTGAACAGTAACAGTCTACCAAATGACCACAGGCTCAAATACCTTGTAAACAATAACTGGGCATAAGTTCAAGTGGGATTTTTGCAAAATTGCATTGCATTGTACAGCTGTACCTAATAACTTGGAAACTTATGCACAGTGAAAACATGACTATTTGTAGTAAATGAGATAAAATATGCAAAACCACAAATCTAGTCCCTTTAACAGAACTTACATGAATAGAAAAACAGACACCAGTCAACTTCTATATCCTACTGTACTGTTATGTGGTGTGCTACTGTGGTATTTCACCGGTAGACTGAGAACCTGAGTGCAGAACTGCAGAAGATACACAGCCACGGGTTTAATAGGTACTCTATAGCACACTGCTGGCCATACTCAGCTTCTAAAAAGTATGATTCACAGTGCTGTTATGCCAAATAAACCAGGAAGACAAACTACAATGGATTAAATAACTGTGTTTACACACTGGAGTGGATCAAGGCCATATTAAAGAAAGCTGTATCAGGTCTAGTAACAGATTCTGCTGTTATCTTGTACTTTTTGTGTGTCTGAGTTTGAGAGAGCAAACACTAGAGTCCCAGACAATAATGCAAATGTTTTTATCATAAAAATGTAACGATTTTATCAGGATGAACATGACACCTGAAATCATAACGAGAACGCATGCTGTTCTTGAATAAAAAAAACCCCCATCCTACTAAGGAAGAGATAGGTCTAACAAAATGGGCAAGCTTAAATATCTGACATAAGCAGTCCCAATGACTGACAACTGGTAGTACTTAGAAGTAAACGGAAGAATGAATCTCAAACAAACTAGTGCTACATCTTCATCTATGGCTAATAATACTGTACACCATGTAGTTAATGCTCACGTATCTATACAGGAAGCACAACTATCCCTTGCCAAAGGCAGTACAAATAAACATCAACTGATAACATCTATATACTTCAGTAAATGTAGTTATAACTAACACAAACTAAAGACTATGCCACAAGAGGTGTGGGGCTAAAAGTGTCCCTTTCCAGCAGAGACAGCAAGAAACTTAAGGCAAAAGTGTTCAGGAAGTAACATGATAGTTGTATGACAAAGGAAAGATGGAACATAGAGGTTTCAGTCAGATTTACAGAGAAATATCTAACAGAATATTCCTCTGAGTCCCAGACACTGAGCTCTATGAGGTACTGATGATTGGACTGATTATTTCATAGGAAGGCAGATGTGGTCCACTGATTCTTAAGAACGTGTCAGGTTCACTCCCCTGGGAGCTATTGCACAAATCCATCTCTTCAGGTATTACAGACCACCATTGTAGGCATAGTCTGCCTTGTTGTGCATGATGAGTTTGTTGTCTACAAAATAGAAACTATCTGATCTGGTCTCGTAAGGGTGCTCCACCATTTGGCGAACTAGAAGGGGAGGAGGACAAAAAAAAATAAATATATAAAACATAAGAATTATTATGTAAAATATAGAAAGTATAGACCCAACAGCATTAATGTTAATTGCTGAGCAAAACAGTCTGGAACTCACTGAGATCATCTGGAAGCTGTGGAAACTCGTAAATGTGTTCACATGTGTTGCGGCTGTTAGGAATGCAAAAGCCAAAGTCAAAGTCGAAGTTCTTGAGGAGGCGTCCCTGGAAATAATGCCGCTCAATCATACGAAAGCTGTTAATGGGCCGGTCGCCCACTGTGAACTCCACACTGTAGGTTGGAAATACAAAGAATTATGACTAAATTTACACAAAAACTCTATCTACACATGACAACACAAAAGGCCAAATAGCGTGCAGTCAGAATGTTAGTCCATGTACTTACGTTGCTCCAACAGTGCGCAATTTTAGGAAGGCTGGTGTAAACTGGTATCTGACAAAACGTCCTGCACTGGTGTCTACATCTCTACTTTCCTCCTCACTTTCCACAGGACCTAATACAAAAAACATGTTCCATTGACTGGTATCCAATACAGACAGGATAGGCAAAAATTACAACAACTGGCAGCATACTTAACCATATCTTTTGAAAGATACACACTGTAACATCTGTTTAATGTAATTGCTCAAAATGTTAGAATTTCTGTCTGTTCAAATAAATACTCAAATGCTCATTTACCAGATATACAAAAAAAAGATTAAACTGACTGCAGTGATACAGTGTGGTTTGAAATAGCAATGTCAAATGAATCAGATCAAGATGTTAAGGAAACACTGAAGTTTCCTGATTCTTTTTCTAAAATCCAAATGTGTTCCATGTTAAAATTTTATTCATTTAAACTGAAATCTACAACAAAGTCAAGTGTGCAAAAGTGAAGGGGTCTGAATACTTTCTCAAGCAACAGTATGTATTACAAATAAAAAGGAAGCAATAAAAATGACAAACCGCTTAAACATTCCTTCCACTTGTGAGACTTTTTGTTCTCTTATATAATTATTTCCAGAACTAAACACAGCATCAGCTTGTGAAAGACTGTCATTTTCATGTCTGTGATATAGTGCTTTGTTGACTGTACAACACCTGAGGGCTGTGATAGCACAGCATCACTGTGTCTGTATAGATGCAGCTTTAAACTAGTAAACCTTTACAGTGATAACACTAAGGTGTGGAGTAGTCTGACTGCAAGGAAGTGTCAGCTAGGAAATGCTAACTTTACAGAGATGTAGCTGTAAAAGAAAAGGCGTTGAAAGAAATAAATTTTCATGATTAGTTGCACCTATAAAGGGAACTCGCCATTTTAGCATTTCATTTGAGTCTGTCCAACATTTTAGGAATATTAAGCTCGGTGGAGGTATTAGATCACTTACCGCTGTTAGGAGGTTTGGCAATCTCAAACAACACCGTGCCTGTCTCCAGATCTCTGATTTTGAAACGTGTGAAGTCAATGTTGTAGATATTGTCTTCAGGTTTGCAAAGATAGTCTGTAATGTGAATTAAAACTGTGAGTTCATGTTAAAAGAAACATAAACATACAGCAGATGAGTCCATTAACTTACAGCCAGCCAACAGGAGTCCTTCTATCCTGTCTGCTTAAAGTTAGTCTTTCATATTTAATTAAATTTACCAGTTCCCAAAAAATTTATTTTGTGGCAAGTCACAAAATACAACCCTTACTCAGAGAACTCATAGCACTTGATGAGCAACTAAGGTTTCAGTATCTATTTTCTGTTTCTTGCACCATGCAGTAGTGGCGGGTAATGCTATAGCACTGGCTCTCTGCTTTTCAAAGTGCAGTGAAAGGGAAGTAATGCTATTGTTGTCTGGTCTGGGGAAAAGGATAAGAACAATAGGAGACATTAAGGATTAACCGCAATTGTGGCAGACAAAGTGTCTGGTGACAGTCCCCGGGGTATGACTCAGAAGGTTCAAGCAGTATAGTCATTAGTGTTGTGGAAGGTGATGACAATTTCAGGTGCTTAGAAAAAAAAGGTTTTATAAAAATATCGATTTAGATAATTTACTGTTGGGGACAGGCACCATCTGTAGGAGGCTGGCTTCATGGTGATGTAGTATGTGACATTAAGCGTCAAAGTTTATATGAATTAAAATTTAACCGGGAGACTGTGGGTCCTGAAACTGATGCGATGCAATCTGCTAAAGAGAAGACATTTCACTCTGTCGGAGTTGTTGGAAATGTCAGCAACACTCAGTCCACTCTGTTTGTACAGTGGTGTTTGAAGAGTGTACTTTCTTACCTCATTAATGATCACGGGGTACAGACGACAGGTTGCAGAGTGCTTTAACATGACCACAAGTTTAATTGTGGCCTGCTGTCAAGTTACTCACAGAAATAACAATAATTAGCAATAGCCTAACAGGCTGTCATTAAGAAGAGCAGTGCTGCAACGCCAACAGGCTGAGGTGACAAACACAGTAAGATTCAAGTAAAGAAAGCATCAGATTTTGATGTGCCATTTTTTAGCCAATACCAATCTGTTGTACCCGGTACTTTTTACCATACTGACTCTGAGAGACAAGGCAGTCCAAGTAACTACAAAACAGTGCTGATTTATTCCATGAACACAGGTAAAATTAACATTACACGCTCAGGTATCTTGCACCTCCAACCTGCACGCAGGCAGATGAAAGACTCTGAACCCACCAGGCCTATACATTATATCCCCTCGGTGGGGCTAGCCCCATACTACACAGAAACGTCAACCGAGACGTCTCTGTTGCCAGCTTTGCAGCTGGTCATAGCAGTAGTCAAAACATGAAGCAAATCAATGTGTGTGTCTGTTGATTAAGTGGTGTGTAGCTAAAAACATTCTCACGACCTCTAGAACATGTCGTGACATTAAACATAAGAACATATTATGGCTAAGGCTACAGTTATACACGTCATAATAATAATATTAAACACCCTGTCTGCTGACCGTCATCAACTCTTCTCTCTAGTTATCCTTGACCAGATGTACCCTGTAGAAACTCATAAGCATGACTAAGCATTTAACAGTCTAACTAGACATCCTATCTCCACTAAACATTTCTAATACATAAAGTATCTATCCAGTTTCTATCTGACTAAAAATACCTAACAAATCCATTAGGATATACCTTTTAGGCCTAGAACACCTACAGTCTGTGTTGTAGCTGTGCTAGCAGTAGACTTGCTGTTTGTACTGTTTGCCAGCCCTATAAATCTTGTTAAGCTCCTCAGGAGGGTTATCAGTGGGTTTACTGCCACTGGAAAGGAATAAATCTTGTTCATCAATATCATTTCTTTTCTTTTTTTAATCAAGTAGAGATGAGGGCCAGAGGATTCAGCTGAACAGATCTTTTGGTCTGAGAATAGGACACTTAGTCACACTGGATATCACTACATTTCATCTTACAAAACATTAAGACCATTAAAAATTGAAGACATTTGTAGTGTGTTGTAATATAACTAGCAGTACATCATTATGTTATGTTAAGTTACTGAATATTTTTCCTAACAGCACTTCTCCAATATTATGCAAAAGCATTTTTCCAAACTACAATAAGTGTTGTAGTATATAACCAGCCGACGGACATTGATGTAGCATATTAAATAAGTCTGGTGAAGCTACAGCACTTCAGAGTGAAGTTATTGAATATTTTCCCAATAAAAATCCACCACAATTATGCTTAAGCATATTTCTCCAAAACAGCTGTTGAAGTAAAACCAGCACACGGTCATTAATGTGTGGAGATTTTGGTAAGACTACACTATGGGTGAAGTTATGTTTTTGTAGTATCGCTTCTCCGTTTTGAACTTTGCAGACGGTCCCTGCCCACTCTCTCCCGGCCGGCTGCGCATAGAGACCAATGTTATTTATCTGCATCGGAGGATGGCTCATTTTGATGAAAACTGACCTATAGCTTGTTGTCTACGTTAGTACAGTTGGAAAGAGGCCTCGCTCCGTTTACGAGTTACTGATCCGGGAACTTTGACTCTGGGAATACCTTGTCTTGCCAACTTTACCGAAGTTATTAGCATAGGGTAAAGGATGCCACTTGAGTGGTGTGAATGTACCAAGTGTAACGTTAATTAAATCCAAGTTAATGTTCACCTTACCCTCCGTGACAGCCCGGAGACCCAGGACATGGTCCGGGGTAATATCTCTACCCAGAGCCCGGAGTTCATCCTCTGTGACCACAGGCCACTTATCCGTTTGACTGCGCCTCGACTTCAGCTTCTTCAGCATTCCTCCACCAGTCTTTCGATCCCTGTGGTTCGTTTCTGAGCCGGCGTCTGAGTCTGTCTGTCCCTTGCTGACTATTTGTGCCGGTTTGCTTCGAGAACTGTTCATACCGGATAGTGTAGCAATAATGACAATAGGGGGTTTCTTATCATAGGAGCGACTTGACAAACTGCGGGTGTAATTTCAAGATGGCGCAAAACGTGTATGGGACATGAAAAAGTAAGATTGTGATTGGTTGAGAGCGATGGGGGTTGTCATAGTTACCGAAAGGTTAGAATGGTTTAATGTTCAGGCCCTCCCGTTTCCTCTTCAAGTGGGTGTATTGTTTTACTTCCATTTTGTACAAACAGATAAAATCGCATCTGTTATCTCTTCCGTCCTGTGGGAGGAGATTCACTCAAGGTTTTTGTTTTGCGGTTGGAAATCAGTCTGGGTGTTGATCAATACATAGCTATGAAAATTCGGGCTGCCTCGTGTTAAGCATACAGTAGTAGCGTTGCTACTAATGTTCAGCGTGTGGTGTTAGTGCATCACCTCGTTGCTACTAATGTCCAGTGTGTGGCGCTAGTGCATCTCCTTGGGTACCAGATTGTTTTGTTGACGGAAGTTTTCAAAGAAGAAGAGAGGAGCAGCAATGGTACGGTGGAAATCTAGGTAAAACGTGTTTGTAGTGCCCAATTTGCTCATGTTTTCTGTATTCAATGTTAATTTCTGACACTTTCACTTTTGTTGACAGGTATTTACTGTGCGAAGTTAACGTGGTAGACCGGAGCCGCTTGTTGCTGCTGGACGACCGAGCTGTTGCAGGGGCAGTGAAGGCAGCGGTGGCTCGAATACACGGGGATTATGGAGCAGCTCTCTGCAGCATCAGATTCTGTGGTAAGCACTGGTGGAAAGGGTATAGATACTTTAACTGGGGCAATCTGAAAATCACAGTTTAAAAATGATCATCTTTGCCATGCTTTACTATATGCAGTGCACATGTGCACTTGAGTTTATTTATTGCATTTTTCATTTATTGCTTATAACGTTAGTTCTTGTATATTGTGTGGTTTTGTGTTTAGTTTGCACAGTTTGTGTATAGTCTTAGTTATAGTTTTATAGCTTTTAATACTATGACGAGATTTCTTTATTTTCACAGCTGCATGAAAGAGAGATTCCTTGTGCGCCTGGTACTTGACAAATAAAGATTCTGACCGATTAAATTAAATGTCCTTCATTTACGTTAAAAATACTGTGTAGTGAGTACTGATATATTATCAGAAAATATATGTAAACTATTTAAAAATAACGTACTAACAGTTAATAATTATAGCAATGCTTTCATGGTACTGTATTGTGCTGTTGATTGAGTTTTCTGTGTTCTTTGTTTGTTTGATAGTAAAATATCTGAATGCCCACACTGGAATAGTACTTCTGCGTTTCCCCAAAAGCTGTTACAGAATTCTCTGGTCTGCATTGCCTTTTATTACCAGTGTTGAAAGTCGTGGGCAGAAAATCCCATGTTTTCTGAACTGTTTGCATGTGGGAGGTAAGAACAACACGTTTCATAATGAATTGGACCCAAACAATCTTAAACAGTGATTGAACACAACTCCTTTGTTTTTCTAGGAACAATTAGAACATGTCAGAAGTTTCTGGTCCGATACAACACCCAGCAGCTACATAGAATGCTCCCTAAGTGTAAAAACGAAGGTACCACTCTTCCTGAAATCCACTGTCATCTCCACAGTTCTGAGCATGTTCAGCTCCAGGTTGTTGTGACTACACCATAGGACCAGCTGCTCAACCTCTCGTCTATAAGCTGACTTGTTGCCGTCTCGGATGAGGCCAATGACCGTTGACCGTTTAATTTAAGGTCCTTCAATAAATGCAGTTTGACTGATTTCTTCTTCTTTGTTCATTTACAGAGGAAAAACAGCAGATTTGCAAAGCAATTCTGAACTGCACACTAACAGGAAAAGATAAGGAAGAATCTGAAGATGAATCAGAGAATGAGGAAGATGAAGAGGAGTAATTCACACCATGCAGCAAAAGGCAGCAGCTGTAAACATGTCCTTGGATGACTGGTTCTGACTATTTGCTACAAGATTGATGGAAAAGAATATGTGAAGCATTTGAAGAATTGTATAGCCAACTCTGAGGAAACATGGATTACTGCAGCTGCTCAATGCATTTGTTACTAAAGACAACTGGCTGGTGCATTACCTTAAATTTGTCACATAAATATTTTCAGTTGACAGAATGGCCTGGTGCTTAGTGCTTGATTCTTATAATAGCTAACATTACAGAATTTCAAACTTCTTATTGTTTTGAAAATGTGACATTGTAGCTAAGACTGCATTCACACTGCAAAATCAGACTATAGCCTAATTTCAAAGAGTTTTTTAAATTAATTAAATTGTTTTATGCTAATCTGTATTTTGTTCTCTAAGTAAAGAACTATTTTTTGAATCTAATGTATTTGCTGTGATACCCTGAAAATTTATTTTTGCACACACTTATGTAAACATTAACTAAATTTGTGGTATTCAGTTGTTAAAGGTGTTTTATTGAAGCACAGATATCTACATTCTGTCTTTTGAATGACTGACAGATTTATTATATTTGTGTCATTCACCAAAGTGCTTAGCCCACATGGACTTGCAAGACACCAAACATATTGTTGCTTCCATAAAAAAGAAAAATGTTAAAACTTTACCATATTACAAAATATATAAAAAAAGCTTTGTCTTCTGTCCCAGGCTCTACAAATAAACTCCACATATAAACTTCCCTTTCTAAAACCCAATTCAAGTTTCTTATCCATCCAAAAATAAAGTCAGATATTGAAGTAGGGATGGGCGTATCGAATCTCTGGTATCGATACTTTAATACCTGCCGGTTGATATTTTGGAGTCGATACTTTTTTAAATATCGCAGTACCACTGTGCTAATACAGAACGTGCAGTTTGTTTTCACTTCTGAGAGTTTTAGGTGTTAAATTTATGCATGAAAACCAGTCCAGGCATTTTCAATGTGCACATATGACAGTATTTTGGACTGACTTTTTTGATCTCAAAAATTATCTTGGTAAGGAAATTGTATTTAGAGAATATGACATTAATTTTTTACAAGCCCCGTTTCTCTAGCAATGAAAAATTGATTAGCAATCTTCATTAATTTGGCCAAATTCTTCATCCGTAATATGTTTCTGAAAAAAATCACCCTTTTCAACTTTTAAACAATTTGATCTTAACAATTACTTCCAAACACTGTCACAATTAAATCACGCTAACAAAAAACGAACCAAAACCATTGACCTCGTTAAACTTTTTAATTTTATATCAGAATAGCTGTACCCCTTTATACTTTATATATTGTTTTTTTTTTTGTTTGTTTGTTTTTTGTTCTCATTTGTTTGGTTCTGCTATTCATTTTCACTTTGTTATATTATGCCTACTTTTGTCCTGTTGTCCTCTTAATGCACGCTGTTATACATCTGTTGCAACAATTTGCACTGAATATATTTTGTATTGATTTGCATTGTTGTTGAATAAAAAAAAAACTAAAAAAAAAAACAAAAAAAAACAGCCCGGGCGCATTTTAGATGGTCTTCCGTGTCACATGATTATGGCAGCAGCCTATCAGATGTCACAGCCGAAGGCTTACTGCGCAGTCTCAGTCAAGCACCGCGGCGTGGCAGAATGGATGGTCGAGAGAGAAAACTAAGCGTAGTATGGTGCTATTTTTCACCCATGACCAAAGGTAATGCCATGTGCTGCGTCTGCAATAAAGTGGTGCCACATAGCAGCCTTTTAAAGAAGCTGAACATCGCCATGAAGACAACCAACAAGCCTCAAAGTCCCCTGCACCACCTGCTGTCCGTCAGAAGACATTGCAGTATAGTTTCATGAAAGGCAAAGAATATCCAGATACAGCGGATAGTTAATGTGTTATAAGTGATTTAAAAATTGAACGAATCATCATTTATTAAACTACTCCAAATATGCAGCTGAGCTACTAGAATCTTGGATGAAGCCATGTTCCCAACTCTTTCATTTAGTTGACAAACGTAAAGGTTCATATGCTTGTACTGTATTTATCAGAAAATTTTGACATACAGTTTTGTTTCTAAAATGTTATTAATGGAAGTAATTTTCCTTTAAGGGGCAAAAGGTATCGGTATCGATGGAAAAAGTACCATAAACTAATGTTATCTTATCCAAAGGAAAAATGTTGGTGTCGCCCATATGTATTGAAGATGTTTTACAAAAGAGGGTATCCCTCAAATCAAACAATGGACAATAAAATATAAAATGGATTTCATCTTCCATCTCCCTCAATTCACATAACAAACAATTTTTTTTATCTTCCAGTAAACCTATTCATTTCAATAGCTAAAAGAAGAGTACCACCATGCAACTGAGCACAAAAGGATCTCTGGCTTTTTGTCAGGTTCTGTCTCACGTTCTGCTGTACCCCATAATTACCCTTTATTTGATAATATATTTGTAATTTAGGTCTAGACCAGATGTCACCAGACTATCTTTCTTTATACATCAAAAATAATTTGTTAGCCATGAGAAATATTACACTGTAAGCTATTTTGAAAAATTTAAACAGAATCATACAAAACAATGATTTAATCTCACTAATCCATGGATGTCTATGCAAGACATCCTAATTAAAGATCTTTCTAGTGAGCCAGTGACCAGGCAAACTCACAAGTCTATTCCAAAGTCAAAACATCTCACTGCTGTGTCTGACATTTGGTGCTTTCTGTCCCATATTTCTACTAATGGCCAAAACTGGGGTAAATTTATGAACTCCTAAAAATGCTCGAATTGCTCTATAATGTACTGTATTACTCTTCACCTGTTCATGAACCCCCAGATGCCTGCTACACAGGACATGCACGTGATTTATACAACTGAAATATATACAATAAACTGTCATCAGTTCGGTGTAGTGTCTTAACATACAGTGCCTATAAAAAGTATTCACCCCCTTGGATGTTTGACACTTTTATTGATTTTATAAATCAATCATGGTCAATATAATTTTGGGGGTTTTTTGGGCAAAAATAAAAAATAGAAAAAACCTCTAATGTCAAAGCGAAAACTGGTTTCTACAATGTAATGTCAATTAAATAAAAATATGTAATGGGAAATAAGTAATTGCATAAATATTCACCCCTTATTTCTACCCCATTTAGAAAATAATAGCATTTCATTCTACATTTATGCTTGTAAGCCTGTACAGGATTAACAAGTTGCCTCGAGTAAATGTTTAAAACACACTGTAAATATATGATTTACCTTTTATCCATCTGCACCACATTGGACCAGGTCTAAATAAAAAACTACTTCAGTTAAACCTGTCAAATCTGGACTAAGCTACTATGTACCCTATTGTATTTTATATTTTCTTTGACTTTCTGCCTAACGGCCAAATCCGAAGCTAAGCTTTAGTGTCATGTTTTGTACTAATATCAGTGTATTCATCATGCTGTTTTCCTTGTATTTATATACCATAACATGTATGGATGCAGAGACACATTGAAACATTTTAAGAACCAACTCATAAACAAAAACTTGCCTCAAACTAGTTGTAATTTACCTATAGATTCCTGGATGTTTAAAGCATTTTTAGTTTGAACAGGTTATACTGATTTATAAGTTTTAAACCCGGTGTGAGTTGACTTATTGCATGGGAGTAAAATCCTCTTGCATAACTTTTGTATAGTCCAGACATGCTCCTAAAATGTGTGGAAGTTATTCCTGGCTTCAGCAATGATGAACAGTCCACCTTGGGGCTAGAAAATGCACAGCATACAGAGGTTGTCCCTATTCCTCAAAATGCATTTGGGCTGCTCTAAAGGACATTTTTACACACGGCACTAGCGACGTTCAGAGTAGCTGACAAAGATATTATTACTACATTTCCCACAATACTTAGTTGGGCCTCTGTACTGGTTTTGGCAAGGCAGTTCAGGGAACATCCGGGTCTCTCGGGTTCTTGTCTGGCGACCCGTCGCCATTAGTGCAGGCTCTTTGGGACGGATAAAATTTTATTGGGAACAATCTTTATAGTGACATTGTCCAGCTTTTGGAAAATATTTAACGCCTTGTTAAGGGCATAGTGTTTCACCTAACAAGGAAGAACAACTTAAACTCGGGGGTTTTGGCCCCGCGCAGCGAGCTTTCGTCCTTACTTCCAACAGCCTCCATAACTTGAGACGCCAAAATCGTGTCTCTTATTTTTTCTCGGGTTTATTTTATTGTCAAGATGTCGCCGTGATGGGGTCTCCGTGTTTGACAGAAATGAATCAGGGCCTTCGTTGCCTGACCCGCACTCACTTCAGCCCGTTTTCCTCCGTTTTTCTGTTTGCTGCTAGAGAGCTCGGCGGCTCTCTACCCGGACCTCGGCCTCAGCACCGCTCACTGCACGGAGACAAGCATGGAGAAAACCCCCAACAGCAGCACCAGCACCAAGGTTCCTCCCCGTTCCAGCTCCACAGGCCCAACATCGGGCGAATCTAAACCCAAAACAGGTGAACGACCTTCATTAAACAACATTAATGTCACTGGATATAGTCGGACAATGTTTGCACTTGCAGCAAAACACGCGCATCCCTGTGGGGCCTAGTGGTAGGGCAAGGGTTGTTTATCTGGTTTGGCTGACGCTGTCAGAACATATCACCCAGCAGCAGTCAGAACTGTAGCTAAAGTTTACACCCAACGGTGTTTGTTATGAAGCCTGCTCAGTATTTATGCACCGCATTGGTCGTCATAAAAAAAAAAAATCCCCACTTCGGGCCGGTCTTATTCCTTCCTTCAAGCTCGGGTCCTCTACCAGAGACCTGGGAGCTTGAGGGTCCTGTGCAGTATCTTTATCTTAGTTGTTCCTAGGACTGTACTTTTGGACGGAGATCTCAGATGTTGTTCCTGGGATCTGTTGGAGTCACTCTCCCAGTTTGGGAGTCACAGCCCCCAATGTGCCTATTTTGTATATATAGATAGATAGATATGGATGAAGAGAGACTGGTACATTTCAACAGTGAACATCTGCATAAATATAGTTTTCTTTTAATTTACATGCCAATTTTAAAATATTTACAAAGTTTTTATTTGTCTGAATAAATTGGCCTGATCCATCACTTTTAAATCATCTGATTTGGCTTCTCACATGGGAATAAAGACCACCTCCATTCCTTTTTAACAGTTTAATTATGGTCCGTAAAATGTGTGGAAGTCGTTCCTGGCTGCAACACCTCACCTTCAGGTTAGATTTGCACAGTACAGGGTGGCCTGTGTGTGGGTTGCTCACAAGGACATCTTTTCCACCAGTCGGGAGTGAAATTGCAGAAAAGTCAAAGTTTAGCCATACTTTAACAACTTGCAACTCACACATCAGCAAAATGAAGATATTTATATTGAATGATCATAACTAATGCATCTTTTTCTTTACATTTCAGAAGGTAAAAATAATGGAGGCTCCAAGCGCTACAGCCGCAAGCGTGAGCCCTCATTCCCTAAAACCGACAGTTTCCCAGGCCCTCGCCGCACCAATTCACAGAAAAGCAAGAATTTTGACAAGAGACCCCCTCAGAGAGGTGGAGGACGACAGTATGGACTTGCAGGTGGAGGTCGACGTGAGGAGGTTTGTGTTTTTAAAGTGTTATTATATTTAATGGCTAAAACTTTAAAAATGTAAAACATTGCAGCACTGAGTAAAAAATAAAAAGTCATCTTATATTTTGAACTTTGCAAAGAAGCGCAGCACCAGTTTTGAGTTTAAAATGCACTGGATAAATTCCCATTCATTTCTGCCTCTCCAGGTAGCAGAGACACGCCGGGCCGAGTTTAGCCCGGCTCAGTTTGCTGGACCGAAAAAAATAAGCTTGAATTTTTTAACTTCACCTTTGAACCCCGTGGAAGTAGTAGTGGTGTCGGAGATGGAGGCCACTCATGCTGGGGCCGCCGAAACAAATGGGGCCACAAGCATAAGCCTTTCAACAAGGAGCTTTTTCTACAGGCCAAGTAAGCCCAACCCCAAAAGGCTGTGAATAAAATGGAATAAAAAGGCTGAGAATGTGAGCTTGAACCCATCTTTGTGTGTTTCAGTTGCCAGTTTGTTGTGACTGATGACCAGGACTACAAGGCTCACTTCTCTGATCCAGATACTCTGGTCAACTGGGACTGTGTGCAACAAGTGGTGAGTGCTTGTCATCTGTTGAGCTCTGCTACTGTACCAGTACACATGCATAAGACAATGCCCACATTTGTTTAAACACGGTGCATGTCATGACAGTCCATTTGTGCACTTGAACAGCGCATCTACAGTCATGAGGTGCCGTCTTGTCCCATCTGCCTCTACGCTCCTGTGGCAGCCCGCATTACCCGTTGTGGACACATCTTCTGCTGGCCGTGCATGCTGCACTACCTGTCTCTGAGTGACAAGAGCTGGTCCAAGTGCCCCATCTGCTATGAGGCTGTGCACACCGCTGACCTGAAGAGGTAAATGACCTCCTCCAATTTCAAAGAATTACATATTTATGTGGGCTAAAGTAAAAGGCAAAAAAAGGAGGGAAATCAATACTAAGAAAAAAGCTAGCCATTGAAGGCACTGACATGTTTACGTACAAGCACTTTAGCCTGTTTTCCTGCTTCATTTTTTTGACAGTTCCTTCTAACATTTGGTTTCCTGTTGCAGTGTGGTTGCCATGGAGACCCGGCAGTATGTGGTTGGTGATGTAATCACCATGCGTCTAATGCGGAGGGAAAAGGGGGCTCTGGTGGCCATGCCCAGCTCTCAGTGGGTGAAGGTGGAAGAGCCGGTTCGTTTTGGAGGTGAGAGACCTCAGCATCTTTGTTTATGAAAGACATTGATTTGTTGTGATTGTTTTTGTCATTAGAATATCTTACAGAAATACTAGTGAATAGCAGTTTTTATATACAGTGCTTCTATCTTCCAGAGTAATTTGATTTATTTTAGAGAGACACTTTGTCTTGAACATGAGAATATAAGAGAGCCATTCCCACTTTTTAGTTGTCATTGTTTTGCACTTGTACCATTCTTAAAGAGACTGAACCTGCAATAAGTTAATAAAGTGACAGGATGGTAGATGATGGCTTATAAAGTTCATTTACATTTTCATTAGGCTTGTTAACGTCTGTTTTCTAGATGCGTGTCTTAGCCCGTACTCCAAGCTGCTGCTGACCTCTCCGGCACAGGTCCTGAGCCTGGTAGCAGAGGAGAAGGCAGTTCTACAGGCTCAGCTCCTCCAAGAGGATGACACCCAAGCCTGCTTCATCCAGAGTGCCCTTTGTCTCTTGCAGGTAACTAAAGCTATATGTTAAACAATTAGATTATTTTGTCTGTAGATATAAATGAAGCAAAAGACAGTAGACGGTGAACTAAAAAAAGGTTAGTGACTGAATGGAGTGCCTACAGAATACATTCGGTCGTCCCACATGGCCAGAATCCATGACTTCACTGCTCACACTGCACGTTCACTCAGTGAGGCACGATGTGAGTGCTTACATGGGATGTCTAAACAGAACCCTGTAGCGGGTATTTTAAATGACAACTCCAGTAAAGCTGAGGGCAACCAAAAGTAAAACAGCCTTGTCAGCCATTTTACTTTGTACAGCTAATGAACAGTTGTAATCTGCCGCGGGGCTCCAGATTGTGAGTGATCAGTCGCATTTTGCAGCAACTGAATTTTTTCCCGAGGTTGCACTGGGTGCAACTACAAAACAATCCGGTTATGCACAAAGAAATACTCTCACTTTAGAAATGGTAGACAGACATCACAATCTCCGTAATACAGTCATCACAGTGTTTATGTGCAGGTCTGTCACTCGCTCGTCTCACGAAGCAGGGACTTCCAATCTATCAAATGTGTTGATCCACACTGACTCAGACATGCCTCACCCTTGGACCCCCTTTTTTACACTTTGAGTCTATTTTTTTCCTTTGGAACATTTGAAGTGTGATCACCACAGACAGCTGCTTAAATCAGGTAGATCACCTGTTTGTTGATTCATCCATCATGTTGGAAACTTTTTACTTGAATCTCTTCTGATGGATCAGTCTCCTGTTGTAACTGAGCTTTATGTTTTTACTTTCCAAGACAGAGAAATTAATAAAGTATGTCAGGACATAAAAATGCTGTTGATTTCTTGCTGTTGAGCCTACATGAAAACTATTTTTGTCCAGTATGTTTCTGCTTTCAGTCAGCCTGGTGAAGGCTGTGCTGCTGAAAAGCAGTTGCTACACAGAGGTCGGAGTCAGTGCGCATTGAACAGATTATACACTTAAATCACACATATGCACTGCTCACCTCTAGTGAAGTCCCAATTTGAAGTTAGTAGTGGCCGAAACCCACCATCAAGGCTTCTTTAAGTAGTAACTTCACTAGAAGGGGAATTGGGAGAGGTGAACTCTGCATGAAGTAAACATCACTAAAAAGCAGAAATTCTTCTTCATAAGAAAACAGGCTACAAATAGGCTAAATCACAAACAACAATGCATGAACAAAATTCATACTTCAGTTGAAATTCTGATCATATCAACATATCTTTCTGATATGTTGCCTTTTTTGTATTCATTTGGCGTAGGCGCTCCACAAACACTTGGGCGCTGTGTCTAAGCTTTTCTTTGGTAGGGGAAACCCTGCATCAAGCAGGCAAAAAGAAATATGGAAAAATGCTGATAATGGCTAACAGGTCATTTGTTACCATGGCTGTTCATTCGGTGCATTTTCTCTTGCATGTCTCCGAGTGGATTAATAAACCAACCTTATCATAAAGAGTGTAACCATACAAGCTGTAAACTGAGCATTGTTTGTTGCCTGCTATATGTTTTTTTGATTTAGGAGCGTGAGGAAATGCTTCTGAAGCAGCAGAAAGCAAATGGAGGAGATGGCCTTGACCTGTCCACTCTTACTCTGGAAGAACCATCTCCCCCTGCGGAGGAAGTGGTGACTATCAGCTGTGCCAAGGTGAGTCAGGAAAAGCTTTTTTTTTTTTTTTTTGGACTATATAATATCTAAAGGTGTTGAAATGCACCATCCTTTGTCCTTCCTTCCTAGCCTGTGCTGCAGTATTCCTCAGCATTTGATGACGAGGTGGCTGAGCTCCCAGAGGATGATGCTGCAGAGCTGCCAGGGTTTGCTGAAGGCATTCTGCAGTGTGTGCTGGAGGAGCCTCCGGAGGCTGTGATGGGTTCAGTCCCAGAGCCCCAGTCTGATGAGGAAAGCCCTGCCAGCCAGGCCCAACCAGGCCATCCCCCAGCCAGTGTCGTGCATGGGCCCTACTACTATTTCTACCAAGGTGGGTAATTCTCCCACACTCTGGCCCTTTGTAGGAGCCCTGGACACCATATTCTATAATTATCAGCTTGGGTAAAGCTTGGCTGCTATGAAGGAAATGTTACTTTGAGGAAACTGAACTGCAAACTTCCTGATTACATAAGCTCTAGCTGATAGTTGAATATGACTGAAGCAGGACATG